TGACACAATTTGCATGAACCTCGTCAAAACAGTCTCTTGCAAATTACTTAAGGTCTAAGAGGCTTTCCCAAGGAAATAGGCTCCCATATTAGTACAAACCCCTTCCAGTTTTAAGCAGAGAAGAGCTCAGGGAAGAATCTCTGCAGGGAAAGGAGGACTACATAGGCCATCCTTCCTCACTTCTGAGATGTCAACGCCTCCTCAGAACTTTCTCACTGTGGCTCCTGTTACCAGGACCTTGACAGGACCTCAAGGATACCATTCCCCTTTTAAAATTCTGGCCCAGATTTTAATTCAAACAAAATCTCTTTTCCTTATCTTTCTTTAGGACACATTAAGCTGCTATTTTGAAAAAAAAAGCTTTATGTAAAAATTAAAAGAAACAATCAAAAAGTACAGCCCACTTTACAAAGTGTGCATTTCCTCTCCTGAACTTGCTAGCTCATCCATTGTTCATCACCTAAGTCTACTCCAGTCTATACCTGTTTGAAGCACAAAATCACCCTTTCAACTCTCGGGCTCACCTCTTCTTTCTCTCCCCTTCTTTGTCATCTCTCCTCCCAAGTCGCAGTGTGGAAGGGGAGTGTTAGCCACCCAGACCTTGAAAGGAAATGAGCAGCCAGCAGGTTTGATGTGCTGTGCAACTTTCATATTCTACGAAGAGTGCATCCTCAACAGTGAAGACCCAGGACCTCGAGTCTCTACCCCTCATTGCCCACCAGTTGGAGCGTCTTCCTCACAACTTCATTATTAGTCTTTTTGATTTTGCACCAAAAACCCTTAGGAAATAACTCTACAGTTATACAAAGTAACTTTTAAAAGTTTCATGGATTTTAAAAATTCGTGAATACTCCCCACTCCTTCCCCACTGCAACACCAGGCAAGCAGTGCACCTCCCAGCCCCCTGGAGGCCCTGCATCCTTTCTCAGTCATCACTGTCACACTGCACGGATATAGCCAAAGGTGTAAGTTTCTCTTAAATTTGAGACTAAAACATTCATCATAGTTACAGATCCTTCCTCCAATCTGATGCAGGGAATGACATGAGACATTAATCTCCTCTTCCCTCTAGGGCTTGCAAAGATCAAAACAACTTTTGACTGTAAATGGCTCTCAGCGTTGATACATCCTGAAACCGTCTGTGTTCATCAGGAAAAAGGAAAGCTCTCTCGCTTCTAAGAAAAAAATTCATTTTTTTCATGCTCGGAGCCTTATTCCTGAGAATCAAATTGGAAAACACCATTTCGAAAGGCACATTTGAAGACAGGGACAATCTGTGAAGAGAAAAAAATAGCTGCTGGAAACAAGTAAACAATTCTATACTTGGGATCTTTGAAAACAAGATAAAAGTACTTTACAAAGGAAAAAATCTAAGGAACTCAGGAAAATTGAAGTCAGTTGTGAAGCTGATTTGCTGACACTCTTCTCATAAGTCTTTTTTTTTTTTTTTAAGGTTGGCTAGCATGTTATATAAGAAGCAGGATTTGAGTTGTCTCCTTCATAACATGCCCATAGGAGCTACATTGCCAGCACATTCCCATTGCCTATAGAATAAAGGTCAAACTCCATGGTATAGTTTACAAAGCTCTTCATGATCTGGCCCACTTGGTTTTCCGACCATATGTCCCCCATGACCCCACAGGCATCCTTTGTTCAAGCAGTACTGAATATTAACAGTTTCTTACATTTGTCACTTTCTCTCCGTTCTCTACACATACATCCCTTGCTATTTTTGGTACGCTCACCTCTTCCACCCCACTTATCCCTCAAGACACAGTGCAAGTATCATGTACTGGAAGTATTCTCTGATTCCCATAGGATGAAACAGGCCCTTCTCTGTTCTTACCATCCTCTGTACTCTCTCTGTCAATGCCCACACTGTGAATTTAGGTCAGAAAGTCCTCTAGTGGCACAATGATTTTAATCCATTATCCCTCATGGACTGCATTGACAGGGAAATTTTTAAAAACTATGCCCACAGTAGGTATTTGGCAAATATGAATACCCAAAAATAGCTTTATAAAGAAGTTATAATGTCAAAGCATTATAACAAATAACAAAAAAATAACAAAATTTTGTACATTCTAAATCATACTAACATTTATATTCTTTCATGTCTTTGAAGCAACTCATTTTATTTATTTGTAATTATTGATTTATGAGTACATAGAAATTTCACACATTTAGAACCATAATTTCCAGTTTAAATTTTTATAGCTTCCAGAAAATATAAGCTAACATTTAAATGAATCCAGTGGTGAGTCAAATTTATAAAAGCAATCATAATCTTATATATAATATATGCTTGTACATCATACTTTCTTAAATAAAGCATCTCTGTACAATAAATTACAACTAGGTAAATATCATCACAAAAAGTTGCTGGAATGACTGGAGTAGCTTTAAAATGGACATATTTCCTGTCTCAAGTGTGTTTTGAGCAAGGGTTGGAAGATGGAGAGAATATGAATTTTTATAGAAAAGAGTAAGAAATAAAAACTGCAAGATAGTGTGTCTGCATGATCTGCTGTAGGCAAACATTGGTGAATTATACATGGCAGTAAATTTTGCTTTGCTAAAGTAAAGAAATGTGAATAGTTTTGTTTTGCTAAAATAGAATTAGGGAAATGCAAATAAAAACTACAATAAGATATCACCTCACACCTGTCAGAATGGCTATAATTAACAAGACAAGAAATAACAAGTGTTAGAGAGGATGTAGAGAAAAAAGAACCCTCATACACTGCTGGTGGGAATGTAAACTGGTGCAGCCACTATGGAAAACAGTATGGAGATTTCTCAAAAAATTACAAATAGAACTACTATATGATGCAGCTATCCCACTTCTGGGTTTTCATTCAAAGAACATGAAAACTGTAATTCAAAAAGATAGATGCACCTGTATGTTCATTGCAGCATTATTCACAATAGCCAAGACTTGGAAACAACTCAAGTGCTCATCAACAAATGAATGGATAAATAAGATGTGGTATTGTATACACACACACACACACACACACACACACACACAAACACACAATGGAATACTACTCAGCCGTAAAAAAGGTTAAATCTTGCCATTTGCAACAACATGGATGGACCTTGAGGATATTATGCTAAGCAAAATAAGTCAAATGGAGAAAGACAAATACTGTATGGTTTCACTCATATGTGGAAGACAAAGCAACAACAACAAACACATAGGTACAGAGAACAGATTGACGGTTACCAGAGGGGCAGGGGGGAGAAATGGTGAAAGGTGTAAAAGGGCACATGTGTACAGTAACGGATGGGAACCAGACTTTTGGTGGTGAACACAATGTAGTCTATACAGAAGTTGAAATATAATTATGTACACCTGAAATTTATATAATGTTACAAACCAATGTTTCCACAATAAAAAAAAATGAAAGGGAGAAAGAAAGAGAGAAACAAAGAAACCAAGGAGAAAGTCTAAACCAGTAGGTAGTAGGAGAGGAATACAAATTTTGAGTTGGGGAGGGAAAGGAATTGTATGCGGGCTTAGGGTAAGAGTGAGACAGAGATCCTAGATGACAATTAAAGAAATTTTTGGAATCAGAATAAAGGCCTATTTGATTGGATTAAGCAATTGGTAGTTACCATGGCTTCTCAGAAGGAAATAGACAAAGATAATTGTTCTAACTATGAGAAACTTGAAGAGGAAGGAGACAGATTGCCAAGAGATCGTTTAGAGATAAAGCCGTAATTGAAGAGGAAGGGCAGAAGAAAGAGAAGACCTGAGAAATACTGCCATAAGGAAAGAGTCAAGGATAATTATACAGCTACACTTCAAGAAGCCCAGGAGTCTAGTGGCCAGCAACACCGATAATCAAAGGATAGGAGAGCACCTATGATGTCTGCCAAATATTGAAAAATGTCAGTCCTTCTCAGAGCATTATATGAATTTATTTCAGTTCAAATAAACTCCTAAAGAAAACTTGGGGAAGGGGGTGCAGAGGGAACAGAGGTGATGTGACAAAGTGATTCTAATGATTAGCTGGAAGATAAATTGACATAAATAGCCAAGAAAAAAGTTTAAAGAATAACAAGAAGGAAGTTTTTTTCCTAGCCACTAGATGTCTTTAAAATGCTAAAATAATAAGAAATAAAAAGTCTGATATCTGTCATAAGAATTGGTAGATATGATTACACAAAAGAATACAAGCCTAGAAATAATCCATAGTATATGTAAAAATGTAGTGTATAATTAAGAGATATTTCAAATTGATGGAGAGAGACAGATTATTCAGTAAGTGACCCTGGAATAATTGGTTAACTATTTTAGTATAAAAAGTGGGATTCCTCCCTCATATCCCATACTGAAATGAATTCCAGTTGGATTAAAAAGTTAAATGTAAAACATACACACATACACACACACACAAATAGGAACACATGAAAATATAGGTGCAATTATATCTGTTTGAAAAAGAGAGACAACAAAATTGACAAACTTTTAGCTAAATTGACCAAAAGAGAGAAGACTCAAATTACTAGAATCAGAAATGAAAGAGGGGACATTGCTACCACCACTAAAGAAATGCAAAAGGTTATAAAGGAATACTGTGGACAGTTATATGCCAATAAATTAGATAACTTAAATAAAACTGACAAATTCCTAGAAAGACACAAACTACTGAAATTGACTCAAGAAAAATAGACAATCTGAATAGACCTATAACAAACACAGAGATTGAATTAATAATCAAAAAGTTACCCGCAAAGAAAAACCCAGGCCCAGATGGCTTTACTGCTGAATTCTACTAAATATCTAAAGAAGAATGAATATCAATTCTTCACAAACTGTTACAAAAATTAGAAGAGGAGGGAACACTTCTCAACTCATTCTATGAGACCAGTACTACCCTGGTGCCAAAATCAGACAAAGATATCACCAGGAAAGAAAACTATAGACCAATATATTTTATGAATATGGATGTAAAAACCCTCAAAAAATACTAGCAAACTGAATCCAGCAACATATAAAAAGAATTATATACCATGACCAAGTGGAATTTATCACAGGTATGCAAGGTTAGTTTAATCTCTGAAAATCAATTAATGTAATATACTCTAGCAATAGAATAAAAAACAAAAACCACAGATCATCTCAATAGAAGTAGAAAAAGAATACAATTAAACTCAACATCCTTTCATGATAGAAACACCCAACGAACTAGGAATAGAAGGGAACTTCCGCAACCTGATAAAGGGCATCTTAAAAAACCCACAGCTAACATAATATTTAATGATGAAAAACTGGATACTTTCCCTCTAAGATCAGGAACAAGTTAAGGGTGTCTGCTCTCATGCTTCTATTCAACATCGTATTAGAAGTTCAAGAGAAGGCAATTAGGCAAGAAAAAGAAATAAAAGTTGTCCAGATTGTAAAAGAAGAAGTAAAACTATCTCTCTTCACAGATGACGTGATCTTGTATATAGAAAATCCTAAGGAATCCACCAAAAAACTATTAGAATTAATTAATGAGTATAGCAAGATTGCAAGATACAAGATCAATATACAAAAATCAATTATATTTCTATATACTTGCAATGAGCAATCTAAAAATGAAATTTTAAAAATGCAGTTTATATTAGCATCAAAAAAGAATAAAATTCTTGGGAGTAAATTTAGCAAAAAAAGTGCAAAACTTATACTCTGAAAACTACAAACATTATTAACAGAAATTAAAGAAAAATTAAATTAATGGAAATCTCCCCATGTTCATGAATTAGAAGACTTCATATTGTTAAGATGGCAATAGTCCTCAAATTCACCTATAGATTCAATGTAATCTCTATTAGAATTTCAGCTGACTTCTTTGTAGAAAGTGACAAGTTGATTCTAATATTGATATGGAATTGTAAGAGACCCAGAATAGCCAAAACCAGCTTGAAAAAGAAGAACAAAGTAGGAAGACTCACACTTCTCAATCTGAAAACTTAGTACAAAGCTACAGTAATCAAAACAGTGTGGTACTGGCATAAGGATAAACATATAGACCAATGGAATAGAATTTAGAGTCCAGAAATAAACCCATATTTTTATGGTCAACTGAGTTTCAACAAGGGTACCAAGATCATTCAAGGAGGAAAGAATAGTCTTTTTAACAAATGGTTCTGGGACAACTGGACAGCCACATGCAAAAGAATAAAATTGGACTGTTAACTCATACTTAACTCAAGATGGATCAAAGACCTAAATGTAAGCACTAAAACTAGAAAACTATTAGAGGAAAACAGAGGGGTAAATCTACATGGCCTTGGGTTTGGCAATGGTTTCTTAGATATGACAACAAAAGCACAATCAATAAAAAAAACAGATAAGTTGAATTTTATTAAAATTAAAAAACTTTTGTGCATCAAAGGATACTATCAAGAAAGTGAAAAGACAATCCATAGAATGGGAGAAAATTTTTGCTAATCAAATATCTGATAAGGGTTTAGTATTCAGAATATATAAAGAATTCTTATAACTCAACAACAAACAACCTGATTAAAAGCTGCACAAAGCACTTGAATAGACATTTTTCCAAAGATGATACACAAATGACCAACAAGCACATGAAAAGATGCTCAACATCATAAATTATTAGGGAAATATTAATCAAAACTACAATGAGATACCACTTCACATCCACGAGGATGGCTATAATTTTTTTAACTTGGAAAATAATAAAGTATTTACAAGAATGTGGAGAAACTGGAACCCTTGTACATTGCTGGCGTGAAAGTAAAATGATGCAGCCGCTGTGGAAACCAGTCTGGCAGTTCCTCAAAAAGTTAAACGTAGAATTACCATACAATCCAGCAATTCCACTCATAGATATATACCAATAATAATTAAAAACAGGTACCCAAACAAACACATGTGTATGAATGGTCACAGCAGTATTGTTCACAATAGCCAGGTAGAAACAACCCAGATGTCTATCAACAGGTGACTTGATAAACAAAATTTGATATATCCATACAGGGAATATTATTTGGCTATAAAAAGGAATGAAGCACTGATACACGCTACAACACAGATGAACCTTGAAAACATTATGCTCAATGAAAAAAGTCAATCACAAAAGATGAACTACGATATGATTTCACTTATATGGAAAGACCAGAATAGGCAAATCTATAGAGACAGAAAGTGAATCGGGGGTTGCTTAGCAATCGGGCAGGGGGCACCAGGGGAATGGAGGATGGAAGGGTGATAAATGAAGGGTATGGAGTTTCTTGTTACAATGGTAAAAATATTCTAAAATTGACTGTGGTGATAGTTGCACATATCTGTGACTGTATTAGAAACCATTGAATTGTAGGATTTAAATGGTATATGTATTATATTTCGATAAATCTGTTTAAGAAAAAGACAGAGAGAGAGAGAGAACTAGGGGAATATA